TTCTGCTACCCGTGGAACTGGCAGCCCATTGGCGAGCATTCATGTTGCAAGATTTACAGGTCACATCAAGACCGGGCTGCCTCGCGTAGTAATCCATGCACTGAACGCATTTTCCATGTGCGGAATACAAAAACTTGTATTCGAGCAATTTTTGAGCAGGAACGGCACCATGCCTAGTATCAAAATCAACACAGTGAGGCGTACCAGTGCAAGGCTCCGAAGCCTTGGTCGAATCCGACTGCGAAGTGCCAGCATCACCTTCTGGATCCTTGCCCGCTGAAGCACTGGGCATACCACCATCCGAACTAGTAGCACCGGTACCCGTTCCTGCCTGTGCAGACTGCGCGCCAGGCTGTTGCGAACCACTTGGAACGCCATCTCCTGATTCAGACTCCTGATGCCCTGCACCTCTGCGTCTCCACTGCCGAACCAACAAAGGAGGAACACGCCAGGGCTCTTCCCACATCCCAGGATGAGCATTCAGCGCAGCTTGAGTTCGCGCCGGGACGACGTCTACACCAGCTGCTTTGAACTGTCGCGGAACACTACGCATCAGTCTCTCCCAGGCCACATTCCAGCGTTTCATTTGAGCCTCCGCCATCATCCTTCTCTCATCGTCTTGCTTGTCCGGATGCAGTGCCAATGCAACTTGCTTCCGCCGCGGCTTCAAAATGTATCGGAACTCATCCTCCGACATGTCCACAATATGGGATCGCTTGCAGCCCAGAACTTCCAACACCCAGGCCACTTCCTCATCCTCCGGCGGTCTCCACGCGGCCATTGAGTCGCGGCCGAGACAAAAAAAAACACATAGATCACATAGATCCACGGCATCGTAACCAAAACCTGACATCATCACAATGCAATTCCCGAGATCTCACGGACAGCCCCTACAGAAACCTCGAGAAGTGCAACAAATGTCCAAGATATAAAATGGCCGATCGTCAAAATTGAACGGTACGATGATTCCCATATAATTTGTTTTGTTCACTGTTCATGCGTTTTGACAAAATTGAACGGTACAACATTGAACGCTACAATGCTTCCCGTAATATGTTTTTTTTGTCCACTACTCATGCATTTCAATGAAAACATCACATATATTTTTCGTGTTATACATCACATAGATCCACTGCATCGTAATAAACAAACACTGACATTACCAAAATGCAATTCTCGAGATCTCACGGACAGCCCCTACAGAAACTTCGAGAAGTGCAAGAAATGTTAAAGATAACTGTTTGCCAACCGTCACTTGTTTCCTCCGTGCACAATGCATCTTGTCTTTCCGTTCACGTCTGAGCCCAGAAAAGAGGTAAAGAAGTAAAGAGGTGCACTATGCTTGTTCCGTGTTGCATCATCATGGACTTCGAAACTGAAAACAATTCATGAGTTTGACACTTGGCTACGCACTCGCACTTCGAAACTCGAAGCACAACTGCTAAGTTTGACACTGGACATGGGCACGATTGTCGCCGAGACCTGCAAACTGAACAGTGAAGCTTGCAATGAACACGTCAAAGCAACACATTTCAAAGAAATCTGGTACCGTGAATTCCCAACTAAAACCACATGTTGTTCATTTGAATAGACGATTTCCCACACAGTTTGCCAACAAAAACAAGCAAAAGCCGGTACCATGATGCTATAAACTACATCCGTCATCTTCATGAGTTCAAGGTAAGCGAGCATCACGCACATTCAAATCCCCTCAGCAGCATAGAAGACTCTGCAGAATGCCAAGTCCTTCAAAAGACAAACTGTGACAAAAAACATTAACAACAGACATGGCAACGAAAGACGCACATGCAATTTGTAAGTAAAAACTTCAAGTGTGACACCTGTTGATCAAGCCTAATGGAAGATGTCACTTTCCCAATCGCATCAGATGATAAACAACCTATATACTGTCCCGCGCATCAATTCGCAGAACTCTGTGTTTCTCTCGCATGACGTCCAGGATTGTCCACATCGCCAACAACAGTTCCACATGTTGTTAACAGATGGTGAAAAACAAATGGCCTCACAGAGACCCGTGAAGCAGAGGGATACATGCACGGACAAATCCTACAGCACGTTGTCTCTCCACATCACTGCATGGCAAAAAAAACAAATGGGCTCACAGAGGCCCGAGAAGCAGAAGGATACATGCACGGACAGACCCTACAGCACGTTGTCCCTCCACATCACTGGATGGCATACGCAGTCGGCATCACTGTATAATACAATGTGCCGTCCGGCCCCACTTTCTCCGCAGACAACTTGTCGAACAATCGAAAGTATCCCGGAAAGTTCTCGAATTGCCACAGTTTGCCCTCAGCCTTAGACGACAACATCCGAAAATGCACAAAACTGAAAAACAATCATGAAACATCAAAGAACACAAAAAGCTACAATCACAAACATGACACGGCAAATAACAAACACGAACAAACACCCAACCCAAAAGCAGCAAATGCTAAGAGACCACCAAATTCAACACACCCACGGGTGTGAAGACAATTTCGTGTGCTTCCAACTCCTTGGCAGAAGCACCCGCTGGATCACTTTGCTGTGCTCGCAGAATGGCCTGCATTCACATGCCCAAGGAACACTATCAAACATGACGTACAATTGAAAATGGACCACGTTGTGAACTACATGTCCGCACCTCCGTCGCCGACGGCTTCAAGCCCCAACGACCGCCCCAATGTGGCTCGATCTCCACACGTTCCTCGAAAAGGCTCACCGCATCGGCAGCGCTCAGACCTACCCACGTCCGCAGTTCTGATAAGACCATTGCGAGTGACGAAGTCTCACGGACAAGCCCTACAAAAACCTCGAGAACAGTTTCTTGAGCCCCGGGGGGCAGCAATGTTTTCAAGGTTGAAACTCAAAAAATGCCAAGAATTCGATCGGCCCGACTGTTCTTTCAATCGAAATGATGACATTTTGACACTAACAGCACACAGTTGCTTCAAATTCTGACGGTCCTTCACATGAAAAAAACCATGATCCCAGTGCCACCTCAGCATTTCGCGTCGATCTGAGAAAACAAACACATGTTCCAGACGGCACGGAAAGAGCATACTTCAAGGAGGCGAAATTTCAGCGTCACGAAACCTTCAAGGTCCCGACTTAAAAATGGCGGCAGATCAAGATCGGCCCGCACAGGATCGAACCACGTTCAGAAATCTCAAAAAATCTCGAGAAATGCCAGAACCGTTGGGGTGTCTTGTCAAGCATGCCTACACTATTTGCTCATGCTGCATGGTATTTTGTTTCCCCATGCGTGACTCTTGTCTTGTCCATTTGCTCACATCTAAGACAAGGAATGATCAATTCACATCTATAGAGCAAAGAGGTCAACATGGTCTGAACGTGAAACAGTGAATTAGCATGGACCAACGCAAAACATACTCTGTGAAGCTCGAGACTGGGATCGCAACTCCTGAGCTTGCGATAAGAAGACACCATCCTCTGGAGAACGACCTGCAAGCTCAAAACTCAGCTGCTGCTTCCCGAACAACGTCTATCAAAGAATGGCAAACATGCAAACAATACACATGCTATATATAAATACATCAACCGCACTGCGAAACCAGCATCAGATCATTTTCATTGTCAAAAACCATGCGTTCCGATCATCACTTGTTTCACGAACATTCAGCGTACATATGGGAATAAGAATGTTCACTCTGTGCACAAAACAATCATCATGGACATGTCCACAAAAGAATTGATAACAAAACATTGAGTGCCAAACAGCAAGGAAGCAACACACCTGGAGCACATGAAAGTTCGGCATCACTAAACGTTAACCTTTTGACAACAGGACACAGCAAGTCGATCATACAACACAGCAAGGCGATAAACTTCACAGAAAAGTGTATTTCTCTTTTTCATCAAGGTAAATGTTCCGTGTAGAGATCCAGACTCCAACGACATGGCGGCACACTTGAAAAGAGAAAGGCTATGTCTCAAATTTCCAATGACTACATGTTGGAGAACATCATCGGGCAGTTTCAAATCTTGAGATCTCACGGACGGTCCCTTCAAAAATTTCGAAAAATGCCACAACTGTTGGGGGTGTCTTGTCAAGCATGCCTACACTGTTTGCTCATGCCGCATGGTATTTTGTTTCCCCATGCGTCACTCTTGTCTTGTCCATTTCCTGCCATCTGAGCCCCGGAATGTTTGATTCACATCTATGGAGCAAAGAGGTCAACAAGGTCTGCACGTGAAACAATGAATTCCCATGGAGCAACACAAAGCATGCTCGCTGAAGCTCGAGACTGGGATCGCGACTCCGAAGCTTGCGATAAGAAAGCACCATCCTCTGGCGAATGACCTACAAGCTCAAGACTCAACTGCTGCTTCACGAACAACGTCTATCAAAGAATGGCGAACATCCAAACAATACACATGCTATATATAAATACATCAACTGCACTGCGAAACCAGCATCAGGTCAGTTTCATTGTCAACACGACACAGCAAGTCGATCATCAGTCAACTTCACAGCGAAGTGCATTTCTCTTTTTCATCAAGGTAAATGCTGTGTGCAGAGATCGAGAGATGACAGTCAACGAACGTGCCGGCTCCAGTGTTAATCTAATGTCAGTTTTACGGGATGCCTTTGAAGTCAGGTAGATGTTTTACATGTTCTAACTCTAACTTCATGACGCAACGCCTGCTCCCCGCTCGGACAGTCCCTACTGCGAGAAACATACGTCAGGTCATGTTTTACATCTTCTAACTCTAATTTCATGATACAATGCCTGCTCCCCGCTCGGACAGTCCCTACCGCGAGAAACATACGTTGGGTCATGTTTTACATCTTCTAACTCTAATTTCATGACGCAACGCCTGCTCCCCGCTCGGACAGTCCCTACCGCGAGAAACATACGTCAGGTCGCAGTGTAGTATACCGTCGAAATAAGATGACCATGTCGAACAAAGACATCCGGTAAATCTAAACAACGCTACATGGCAGCTGACAAAGCTCCCCGCCAGCAATGCTAAGCAAAAAGATCAGCAGACATTTCATCTGCAGACAAATGCTGTGACACCCAAGGGATGCACTGCCATGAAAGTCTATGCACATACTTCAGCGCCTTCCGCTCGTCCACGCAGGCCTGACCTTCAAACTCCCGCATCCGCTGCACCAAAAGAGGATTGTGTTCGTGCAGAAACTTTTCGAACACATTGCGAGGCGGCAAATCCACTATCCACAGATCTTCCAGCTTGGTTGGCCTTGACAACATCACGTACATAGCCAAGCCATAGTCCGCTTGACTCATCCAGGACGGTTTGGACATGAAAGCAAGCAGCCCTTGTCTGGCAGTGATGCCCTGCAAACCGTAGTGCGTGAGAACGTGACGAGGTGCCAGTGGCAACTGTTTGCGATGAACCTGCATAAATTGATTGCCCCCAAGAGGAAGATCCCAGGCCTGATCACATGTAACGGGACGCAGCCAAACGTGTCCCTTCGGAGCACTGCCATCTGGCAATTCAATGGCACGATATTCCGGGTCATCGATCTCGACCAAGACGGCCAACGGCTGATATTGCAAAACGACACGTCCACTGCTGTTTGAAATTACAGGTTCCTTCGGGTGCAACTTAATGGAGCGAACAATGACCGGCAACTCTCGACTCAGCATCGGCATGTCCAAAATGCAACTAACACGTGCTGCCATCCCTTCATACAAAGGGCAAATGCCCATGAGATACTGCGTTCTTGTCATGTTCACAACCTGCAATGCCTTCAGGCTCTGCTCCCTTGTCAAATCTGTGGGCCCCGATGCACGATCAATAGCTTGCACCAAGAAAAGAGTCGTGGACCTCTGTTGAGCTTCCCAAGCCACCCGCAAATGCTGTAAACGAGCAACCTGTTCCCACGCCAGGCCGCCCCAGTGAGCACTCAACAACCTTGAGCGCAAGGAATTGTCAGAAAAAAGTTGCTCTCGGCTGATCACTCGAGATTCCAAAGCTCCCCACAATGCATCCTCCAGATGTTCGCCTCGCCGCATGGACAAAAGAATCCTCACAAGCTGCTGTCCGGATGCACACTTCGAAAAACGACCGGATCCAGTGAAGTGCACAACTCGCTGAAGCGATTGCTTGAACGCGATCCGTCCAAGTTCTGAGGCATTGCTGGTGCGTTCAGCCGCCTCCTTCTCCACGGCCTCTTCGGCATCGCTTTGGTCTTCTTGGTCTTGAGGCGGTGCAGGATCAGTAGCTCGTGGCGCATCCACCCATTCGCACAAGGATGCTTGCGCAGTGGGTCGCAATTGTAGAAAGTCAGCAACTTGCACACCAATGGGCACCTTCCCAAACCACTGCTTCAAGTAATCGCCCATGTCAAGCATAAGTCGAGCTTGTCGAACAGTGGCAAATCGAAGCGAAGCAGCATGGTACACATCCGAAGGAACCATCGACAACTCGTCCAACAGCATGGCCATGATGCCTTCGATCTTCTTTTCGATCGGGCTGCCCTTGCTCTTCGCCGAACGCAAGGAGCGGCGATCCAAGCTGCTGCTCTTGTGCACATTGGCCCACTTGTGCAAAGTTTTGGCCTCAGGCCCCAGGAGGCGAACAGCAGCGTGAGTCGGAGCACCAGCAACATAACCATCCTGTCCAAAGAAGCGTCGAAAGAGTGGCCTCAATACTTTGCTGTATGCATACGTCTTTCCAGATCCACCAGCTCCGAGCCAAAGACAATTGCACCTTTCATTGCACGCACCATCCGCAATGCAATTGTCCGGATTGCTTCGGTTAAGCCACATCTGTTCCATGACCCAAGCAATGGGCGCAATGGCCAAAATCTGTTGGCGATTCAGACTGTGCTCCACAAGCAAGGCAGAAGCATAATCACTCGGACCCACATTCCTCTGGTTCAGCTCCACCAAAAAGGCATCTTCCGTCTCTGGCAAAGGCCGAAAAACATGATCTGCCATCATCTCAGTATCCTCTTCACCACCTGCTGCATGAAGACCCACCAACGAGAACACAACAAGCAAACAAAATTCCCCCCCCCCCCGAAAAAAAAACAACAGAACTGACATATTCAGCAAATCAGCTATATGTTACAACGACAAAAAAGAAAAACAAAACAAAACTCATCCACAACCACAAAGCTCCGCCTCCAACGCAAAATTCCAAATATTGCTTCTGCAGCATCAAAGACCTCTGGGCTTCGGCGAACGTCCAATTACGCTCCAATCCACTGGCTGCGTTGCCTTTGATTCCCAAATCAATCCTCGCATCCGGAACACCTCCCAAACCATTCACAAAGTCACGCAAACGCTGCAACGCATCCTGCAGCACCGCAGCTACATGATTGTTTGTCGGTAACATATGTTCTCGTCAACAAGGCCATATCACAAAAGCTCGGTACCACATACTGGTGATCATGGAACGTATCATATCCTTTTAGTAGACATTTTCCACACGGATGACTACTTACAGCTTGCTAGCATGATGCAGCAAACAACGCATGTTGCAACACAAGGCATATCATGCTTTATTCGGCACATCTCACACCCGCTGAAAGATGAATCATCAACAACGTTACACAACAACAGCTTAGTACCATGATGCTGCGAAAAACATATATCATCTCCTTTTATCAGGGAAATTCCCACGAACATCGCCCAAAAAGCTCGATACCATGTCCTGCAATACAGATGGCTTTCGATTGCCCAACACCTTCATCCAATCCTCTTCCCGAAACATAGCTTCGCGCAATGCTTCTCCATCCACCGGCCACTGCGCACGTTCCAAGTTGTCCAACTCTTCTTGCAATAGCAGATCATCCTCGACCTCGTGTCCTTCTATAACCGGCGGTGCCGAATCATCTTCCAGGTCCTCCTCCTTGTCCAAAGCAGTCATCAAAGCATAACGCTCAGCTGTCCGACGACTGCTGCTGAGACGACGTGCAGCACAGTGCTGCTGGAAACGCTCCAACCACGATGTCTGAATATAGGCCAAGAACTCTTGCGATGTCAACTGAGTGTAATGAAACGGAACGGACAAGTCTGCGAACCAGGCAACGCGCTCACAGATGCGCAGCATGTCATGATAGCGACAATCCGCTCCTTCTGCTCCACCGAACAGCTTCTCCAAACATCTAAAAGCACTGCTGGTGTCACCAATGCCAGCAACATAGGAACGCACTGATGCAACATCCCGGATGACCGGAGCAGACAAACCGGCCAAAACTCTTTCCTCCGCCAAACACCTCCTCATTGACATGTAACTTTTCCAGTGCTTCCAATGCAGCGTAAAACGGGCAAAAAGAACGCCTTGCTTTGCATCTTCTTCCATGGTGTGGCAAGCAAAGCATCGATGTGACAAACTGCAATCTCCAGAACACGTTGGGAATGGAAAAGATAATCCCAACATGTGAGCTGCGTACTTCTGCACCTCAGCATCCTTCGGAAGGTGCAAATCTGAAGGCACCACAACACTGTCATCTGCTGCTCTCACTTCCTGCGAATTTCAGCTCAACACAGAAATAAACAACTTCACCCGAACTTGTTAACACTTTCCAAATATCAAACTTAAAGACACCAAACAAAGTAAGAACGAAAAAAAAAAAACAGAACCACCCACCGCAAGCAATCCTGAACGGAGGAACTGAAGTGGGCATAGTGCTCATCAAAGTCGAAAAACTTCACTCCATCCACCTTGCCGGCTTTGTTCCTCGAAACTCTGCGAACGAAGCGAGAATACATCAAAAGAGACATGCATTGCAACAAAACCGAAGAGCCCCTGTGCAAGTAATCGTCTTTCTGGTTGAAGTTCACATGCACCTGCTGGACTCTAGGCACATCACCTCCCTCATCAACAACCTCCGCAAACTCATCCACCACCACTGGTGCCTCTCCTTCGGGGTCAGGAAGCACATCCAAGGGCGAGCCATTGAGATGCAGCCTAGCTTGCAAAACCTCCTCCATGTCCTCATGTCTGCAACGCATGATTGCATACGGCACATAGCGGAAGAACATGTTGTAGCCACGATACGTCACCAGTTGCTCCTGCTCGAATAACATCTGATACGCCATTTCACCGTTGGATTTGGCCACACAACGATTCATTCCAAAGGCAAGTCTTCTCAAAATCGTCAATGCACGCCTCTGTTGCCCTGTCATAGTAGGGTCCCTGTCCCCCTCCAGGGGCTCCTGCTCGGAGCCCGCTGCAGCTTCCTTTGCCCTTTCCCTTTCCTCCTCTTCCAATCGCTGCACTCCTTCAATGTTGCCGTTTACTGAGAACCAAATTAAGGCACACACCAAAAAAATAATCTATACCATCTCATTTCATTGTAGGAATTCCCATACAAATCCTCAAAAAAGGAGTCGGTATCGTGATGTTCCAAATCAGATATGTTACATTACTTTACTAAGGACATTTGCACAAAATACTGCAAAACAAAGTCGGTAAGAAAAAATATCGTCAAAAATTTCCGTTTCGACCGCCCCGAAGCAAACAGTCCTGCATACAATTCAGGTAACATACTCCGCGAAATTTCAAACTTCTTTGCAGCATACTCACCAGTGTAAAAACCAACATTCATCATATCTCTTGCAAGGTCCACCAGAATGCGCTCAAGCGCCTTTCTCATCGTCTGCATCTTCTTATGCTCCGTGTCCAAAACACGACCCATGCATTGCTTCTTCGGCGGCGGATCCGAAGCATCCAACTCAGTCGACACAGGTTGCTCTGCATGTGAGGCATCAGCACCCGATATAGCATCCGAAGACGAACCAAGCGCCGGGCGTTGAAGTTCCATCTCCTGCTCAGACGCTTTTACACACAGAAGCTTTTACACACAGACTCCTTTACACACAGACCCTTTTACACACAGAAGCTTTTACACACAGTAAAATTGCAATTTTTTGTCAGTTTTTGACGTCCAACGTCCATTTCGTGCGTAAGGGTTGCGCGGGACTACTCAAAGTCGCATTTTTTCCTCAGTTTTTGACGTCCAACGTCCATTTCGTGCGTAAGGGTTGCGATTGACAACTCAAAGTCGCAATTTTTCCTCAGTTTTTGACGTCCAACGTCCATTTCGTGCGTAAGGGTTGCGATTGACAAAGTAAAGTCGCAATTTTTCCTCAGTTTTTGACGTCCAACGTCCATTTCGTGCGTAAGGGTTGCGATTGACAACTCAAAGTCGCATTTTTTCCTCAGTTTTTGACGTCCAACGTCCATTTCGTGCGTAAGGGTTGCGATTGACAACTCAAAGTCGCAATTTTTCCTCAGTTTTTGACGTCCAACGTCCATTTCGTGCGAAAGGGTTGCGCGCGACGCTTCAAAGTCGCAACTTTTCCTCAGTTTTTGGCGTCCAACGTCCATTTCGTGCGAAAGGGTTGCCGGCGACGCTTCAAAATCGCAATTTCACCTAGGTTTTGGACGTCCAACGTCCATTTCGTGCGAAAGGGTTGCGTTTCGTGGCGCTCCGGCGGCACCGCCCCCGCCTTAAGAGAGAATACAAGAAGAGCGAGAAGAGATCTGCAGATGTGAAGGTGTGAAGATCTAGATCTGCAGGTGTAGGGGTGTGAAGATCTAGATCTGCAGGTGTGCGGGTGTGATGATGTAGATCTGCAAATTTGAGGGTGTGAAGATGTAGATCTGCAGATGTGAGGATGTGATGATGTAGATCTGCAGATGTGAGGGTGTGAAGATCTAGATCTGCAGGTGTGAGGGTGTGAAGATCTAGATCTGCAGGTGTGAAGGTGTGAAGATCTAGATCTGCAGGTGCGAGGGTGTGAAGATCTAGATCTGCAGGTGCGAGGGTGTGAAGATCTAGATCTGCAGGTGTGAAGGTGTGAAGATCTAGATCTGCAGATGTGAGGGTGTGAAGATCTAGATCTGCAGATGTGAAGGTGTGAAGATCTAGATCTGCAGGTGTGAGGGTGTGAAGATCTAGATCTGCAGGTGTGAGGGTAAGAAGATCTAGATCTGCAGATGTGAAGGAGTGAAGATCTAGATCTGCAGATGTGAAGGAGTGAAGATCTAGATCAGCAGATGTGAAGGAGTGAAGATCTAGATCAGCAGATGTGAAGGAGTGAAGATCTAGATCCGCAGATGTGAAGGAGTGAAGATCTAGATCAGCAGATGTGAAGGAGTGAAGATCTAGATCCGCAGATGTGAAGGAGTGAAGATCTAGATCAGCAGATGTGAAGGAGTGAAGATCTAGATCAGCAGATGTGAAGGAGTGAAGATCTAGTATAACGGCTGCTTTTTTACGAAGAACCCTTCGCAGGCGCTCTCGGGAAAAAGGGAAGCGAAAAATCGCCGGGCCTTGCACCCCACCTTTGTCGTGCAGATAGCATTGTCAAAAACTGGGGTATACTCCCCAATGATTTCTCCAAAATCCACGGCTTCATTCCATCATCCAAAATATGCTACAGTATATCATCCCCAAAATAGTGCCATTTCCCCTACCATCATCCGGCCAAGAAACTTGTCAGAGTGATAGAGGTGCACCTTCTCAACGTTGGTGACCAGTTTGCCATGGGGGCTAAAGACCTGGGGTCAGGCGCTATGGAAAATTCTGAGAAGTGCAGTTTGCAACTAGGGCGATCTGTGTCTAATTTTATCTATATAATTGTCCTCACATTCTGAATGGTCCAAGTGAATGGGGCGATGCCACCTTGTTTAACCCCAACCGTGGTTTGACGTCTATCCTCAATTGCTGTGCTCAGATCCCAAAATCGGTGAGATGGAGTGAAGGGGATGTTATATCTCCTGGTGTTTAGCCTCAAACTGTGCAGCAATCCCCCTAGCCCCCGAAAAGATGCAGAACAGCTTCACAAAAAAAACACCTTTCCAGGGCTGAGCTCCCCCACCAGCATCGAATTCAGGAGCCGCTTACTGCGTCGCAGTGGGATTCCACAGCACACCACGCCTCCAGGGCTTCTGAGGGTTCATTTGTACTTGTATGTGTACAAAATATAATCTGATGTATATAATTTGCTTATATACATTATTTATTCATATGGTATAATCTAAAAGCGCGTTGATATACCTCCATATTCTCACAGCTGCTCAAATAGACCATGAAACGCGCAAATTTCCAAACTCACCGCCGCTTCATTTTGTTGATCATACCCTCCATATTGGTCGTTTGTGCCAGCGGGTAGCTACCTACTAATACACCTAAAATAGTCGGCATCCAACTCAAATCTCCAGAGTTTAAGTTATACATCTAGAAATGAATAGATCACCATTTGTATATAGAGTTCCCCATTAAACCCTCTATTTATAGGGGAAATCAAATGTTGCGACACTCTCCCGACTTGTGCCAGGGGACATTTCAGGAGTTTGGCCACGTCTTTGCACCATTTGCTGGTGGGGCCAGTGGTACTTTCGATCACATCCTGAATGTGCTCCTGGCGTTGTGGGGGGTGGAAACTGGCACGTCTGTTGAGTCTGCTGGGCGCAAGAAATATTATGTATACGTAGTATACTAGTACGCACATAAACATAGTATGTACCCGTATATCTGTGTGACTATAGTTTACACCGGGTACCCGCACGAGGCGGGGCGGAAGTTGCCTTAGGGATATACTATGAGACCTGTCTCATCCATAGAACTTGCATGCGCCGTGCACCAGCCAGGCCCGTGCGTGCGTGCTCTGCGCGAAGCTGTTGCAATGTTGTTGTCCAAGAACATGACCTGCGTGCGACCCCGGTGCAACGCAACGCCAAGCGAAGACTTTCCTCACACTTCACACTGCACTCTTCACACTTCACACTCCACACTTCATCTCATCTCAGATCATGTGAGCTCTTCTCACCTCATCTCACCTCATCTCACCTCATCTCAGCTCTTCTCATCTCATCTCATCTCCTCTCACATGTCATCTAAGAAAGTTTTTCTCAACTGTTTTCATCTCATCCGAGCACTGATCAACCTTTCTCATCTCAGTGAGCAGGCCGCACTGCCGTGCCCACTGCCGTTCCCCGAAGCGCCAAGACAGGCTGCGCACTGCCGTGCCTTCTTTCCTTTCAGTCAAACTGCTATGCGTGCCAGTTGTCTTGCATTATGTTCACAACATACCTGTGTGCCTGCATCAAAACATTGTTCTGGGAATTCTGTCTCCCATGTCACGCGTGACTGCTGACATACTGCATCATGAATCCGACGAACTCATGAACTACATTTTCACATGAAACACACTGAGCCACAAAGCTTCGCATCGACGAAGTCACTCGGCAAACAATGCTCTATTCCAAGATATCAAGTTTCAACAACACATCCAAGCTTATGACCATTTCTGTGGAATCCAGTTTCAACAACTTGTCCGAAGCTTATGACCATTTAAAGATATGCTTTCCATAGCGGGTCCGGAAAGCACACCGGAATTTTATTGATCCTGGAGGATAACAATGACACCCTTTCTACAACAACCACTGCAATGTCGCCAAAAAACAAAGACCTAATTACAATAAAACATTCATTACACAATAGAACTACGCGCAACGGCGTCAGAAATTGCAGCTCCAAAGCCCGATCTCGACGCCAAAGCGAAAAAAATACGATTTTGAAGCACTTGTTTAAAGGACTTTTAAAAGGAAAATTGCTAACGCCAAAATTGAGAAAATCTGCTGACAAATCACTGCCGCAGCCTTGATGCAGCCACTCCAATAATTCCAATACTATTTTCCAGATCCAGCTGCAAAAGACAAAAGTATTACGCATGCAGCCGCGGCGCCAAGCAACCTTGAGGCAGCAATTACAATTCGTTTTGCAGCAGCATCCCGTCGCAAACCTGCACGTATCTACTTCGCACATAGCAACAGAGCATGACAACAATCATGCAGCCATTCCAATGCGATCTGCAACCACAGATTCAAGAAACGCAAAGAACTACGCACACCGGAACAACCACTCATTGCAGAACACAGAGGAGAAACCAAAACGACCCCAGCCGCACCCGCCGCACACAGGAGGTACCTTTCATCGCCGGCTGCAGCCACTCTACACGGAAAAACACACAGTTTCGTGCTCCGGCTTCCTCCCCAAAACAAAGCCCATGCAACATTCATGCAGCCATTACAAAGTCACCACTTCCCAAAGTCACCACTTCCCATCGTCACCACTTCCCTTCCTCACCACTGCCCTTCGTCACCACTTCCCTTAGTCACCACTTCCCAAAGTCACCACACTCCCTTCGTCACCACGTCCCAAAGTCACCACACTCCCTTTGTCACCACTTCCTTTCGTCACCACCTCCCTTCCTCACCACTTCCCAAAGTCACCATTTCCCTAGGTCACCACTGCCCTTCGTCACCACCCTGTGTCATAGCCTGTTATGGAATTTGTGATGTATTGTTATGTGATGTCAAGTCTCACAGTCATAGCCTATTATTCTTTTGTGATGTATTGTTATGTGATGTCAAGTCTCACACCGCCCTTCATCAATGTCAAGTCTCACAATTCTATTTGTCCGTAACACGGAAGTATTGCTTCCCAACTTCCTTTGATTATTATATATATATACATATACGTGTGTATTGAGTCTTGTGTGAAACTGTAAAGGCGCAGATATCTTGGGAGGATAATGATGCCCAGTTGACTGCGCCAGGCAATAGCCGCACAATGCCTCCAACTTCCCTACACACATTGGGTGAGAATTTTTACCATCTTGGTCTCCTCACCAGACAAAAATTGGAGGTTCAAGCCTCTAAAATTAAACAAAAATGAGAGTTTCAAGTTTCAAGCCTCGAAATCTTCCCATATCTTCCCCTCATCCCATGGATTCCCATGGTGAAAAACCGTTC